ATTCTCGTGATGAGCTGATCACCTAGTATATCACGCGAGGTCGTCAACCTAGAAAAATGCTCAGGTTCATTGACGCAAAAAAGTTGAGAACTCAATGGTTGTAATAGCAATTATTGTAATTTATTTTATGTAAATAATCATCAGAACGACGAACCATTGTTTGGTTAAAATCGTGAGATTGATCTTTGATGATTCTCCTTGATGATGGAACATAAGATGAAACAAATAAATGAATGAATAGATATAAATGTGAACCCTATAGTTTTTATTGTTGTTTATAAACTACCCAATGCTTTTCGGAGATCAATAGCCAATTTATTGAATTTACGTTGCCTAGAAAGTGTGAAATATTATTCCTTTGGGATGATCGAGTTTGAAATAGCATAGCAGAAAAATATAAAGTATATCGAATAAAACTAGGTGTGCCTACATTTCTGTGATCATTGATAAAATATAAATGCTGTAGAGATAATATAGACAGATGTAACACAGAAAGTAGGAAAGTCTTGATGCATGTTTTTGTTTTCATGTTAAACGTTATTACATAGTAGATATGTTATTGATAGGTATTTCTTGTTTCAGGAGAAAGTTTTCAGTAATAATAGTTATTGTTGATCATCAAATGTGCGCCTTACATTCTAATTGGCTTTAGTTACGTAAAATAATAACAAAATCAACCGACCCACAGGCAAAAAAAAAAAGTTTTTAGCTATGAAAATAAAGGCCATCATGGAATGGATATTACGGATTCATGTTCCTTTTTATTGAATCACTAAAATATCGAATTATATTCAACGCTCTTGAAATGTTCGTCCTCCATGTCTGTTGGATTCTTCATCGTATATGCTTACATAACTGTTGTCCCATTGAACTTGAAAATTGGGCCATCGCTTGGGGCACATCGAGAGATACAGTTAGTCGCCAGACCAAGTTTTTTCGTTGCTTCTTCATTAGCGATTACGAGTATGGATTCTATGTTATGTAAAAATATGGAATAAAAATGATCTAGAATGTTGTTTAATTTATGTTCTGCCGTCGACCTAGAAGCTTCATTATTTTTTGTGATTAATATTTTTTAGGCGGCTCGTGTTGAATATCAATTTTAAGGACCAGGAATTGATAACGTAAATGAGGATCCTCGTTACAGTTTTTTTATATTTTATTGCTACATCATTATTGTCTTTTTATCGCAATACTTGTTTGTTTCGAAGATAAATTAATGGAATGTAGAATTAATACAAGAAAACGATGGAATGTCCTGTAAGTCGGTCAGTACACAAATTGTTCTTCAGATGTAGGAAATATGCATAATGAACTTTTTTAGTTGACTTAAAGAGGGCTCTTTTGTCATTCACAATTTTCCATGATTCGTTTTTTCACTATCGAAAGTCTTTCTTCAATGTAACAATACTAAATTTTCTCTTACGAAATCTAAATTTTCACTGATGAATATTTTCAGGGCTAGTAATGGAAATTGTGGAAAACTCTAATTTATTCTTGCATAATTATTATACTGATGACGATCGTAGAACGTTCTTGGTTCTTGTTATTGTATGATTAACATTCAGTTTCGAGGGTTAGCAAAGGAATCGAATGATTTTTTTTTCTTTCTATTATTGCTACAATAGTATATTTTCCATCGAGGGTATAAAATGGGTATATTATGTACTAACGAAGAGACCCGAAGACGAGTGCTGTGATCTTCTGAGTGGGTAATAGCTATCATGCACTAGTAGAATATTATACTTCATCTACAATAGTCCAAATGTCAAAACAGCCCTGAAACAAGTCGAGTTAATTCAGGTATCAAACTTACTGATAAATAATCCAAGAATTGATTAATCAGCGAGTTATGACTTTCAGAATAATGATGATTATTGGAAGTTTCTATATGCAATCAACAGTGCATGTTCGATCGTTCTAATTATTGGTCTGTACTTTATTCTAATAACCCGTATGTATGTGCAAACAAAATTATTGCGTTCTGCAAACTGCCAATTTCTTTTTCACTGTTATTCTCGGTTGAGAATGGAAAGCAATGAATTGCCATTTTTCTGAAATATGATACTACTACAAAATGTTTGTCTAACTGTAAGGTTTATTTTGTTGGTAGTTTATTCGTGAATTGAAATCATCTTCAGAATTCTTTATTGGGTAGTTGATCTGAACATTTTATTGTATAGAAGATTCAATAGTGGTCGTTTTTGTAGCACCGCTCCTTTGTTATTTCCCATTTGAAGTTTTTCCACTTCTTACAGTAGTACTGTAGTGTCCTGATGCTGAATTTTCAATAACGTAATCTAAATTTTCACCGATAAGTCTTCACAGAATTTGGTTATAATAATTGTAGTACGTGATGAGGACCGTATAAGTTCTTCGTGTTAATGGGATCCCCTAAAAGTCGACATCCTACAAATTGTCTCCCATTGTGATTCGAGACATGGTCGTCTTGATGAACTAATTAGGATCGTTTGTTCCGATTGATGTTTGAATCTCGGTCACGTTCACTTTGCTAGATGTTCTTCGACTCGGTATAGTAGATGACATTCATTTCTCACGGTTGAGGATGAAAAACAATGAATTACCACTTTTCTGAAATATGATACTGTTACATAAGTTCTGTTTTTCTGTAGGGTTCATTTAGTTGGTAGAATTGGTGAATACAAATTATCATTAGAATTTTATATTAGTGATTGTTCCGAAAATTTTATCGCATCGAAGATTCACTAACGGTCCTTTTTGAAGCACCGCTCTTTTGTCATTTATAATTTTCAATTTCAAGTTTTTCCACTTCCCACAGTAGTTCTGTAATGTCTTGGTGCTAAATTTTCAATAATGTAATCTAAATTTTCACCGATAAGTCTTCAGAACTTGGCTATAATAATTGTAGTACGTGATGAGGACGGTGTTAATGGGTTCTCCCTGAAAGTCGGCATCCTACAAATTGTCTTCCATTGTGATTCGAGACATGATGAACTAATTAGGGCCGTTGTTCCTATTGATGTTTGCAATCTCGGTTACGTTCACTTTGGTCGACGTTCTTCGACTCTATATAGTGTAGACGACACACATTTCTGACTATCTAACTTGGTTTTGCAATGATGATGAAGAAAAAAAAATAGGAACTCGCGCAGAATAAACATTAGCAACCGACGGGCAGTGTAACGGTTCTTCGGCCTCAAAGAAACTGTTCGGTACTCCGGAGTCACTGACTCTTGCTCCGAAATGTCGGTGGAACAAAGAACGATTCATTCGCTCGAAATGATGGGAATTCGTAATGATTTTTTGCGTGTGGACAGAAAGACAATACGTTTGGATCTATCTAGACGTTGTGTAACAAATTGATGATTGCATACTTCTTAATATACAAGGAGGCGTTGTACGCAGGGTTGAAAGGATTTTAATTAGTAGATTTGAATATATATACACATTATTTGAATCGATAATTGAAATTTCTGAGGATTATCATTGAGAAAAAATGAAAACTCTGACTTTCAATGATAGCTGATGGTTTATTGTATCAAATAAATAAATGAATAATTATTATGTTTATCCAGGTTGACTGTAGTTGTAGTGCTTGTACAAGAAAAAAAAATTACAGCCTTCCCTGATCGATATCTGATATCGAGAACTTTATTCGAACATTTTGTTGCAATTTCCACTAATCTATGGATTTAACCGAGGATTTTACATTCAAAAAAATATCATCATTGAATTCAGTGAAAGGTTTTGATTTGGCAAGAAACTTGATTATGAATCGTAAAAACCACGGATTCATCATCTGTTTCTTTTTTGTTTAACTACACTTTTGCTAGTAATTTTCAATTGTTTTTGACAGGACATTTCATTGCATATCTCACTTAGAACGGCTCTCCGTCTATATCTTAGTTATTAGTCGTGCGATTCTTACCAAATTTGGACTATTTTGAGCTACCATCAAAATGTTTAATTTTTCTGGGATAAACATCATGTACAGTGCCGTGCATGTTTATTGAAATAGAAGATGTCGATTTCTTATGAAATCATATTGGGATTTTTTTGCAGGAAAACTAACTTCATAATATTCTTCATGGTTTCAAACTACCACATGAACATTTTCATGAAATTTTTATCGAAGGTTTCAATAAAACAGGCACAACAAAATAAAACAATACTCCTGCAAACTTATTTTCTCGGGAGCGGAGTTCATCGAAAAAAGTATATCTTGTTTCTTCTTCCAAACCACAATTTTCTACCTACTGGAGCTATTGAACCTTCCAAAATTCGCAGTTAATTTAAATTCATCATTTTTTGAAGGCAAAAAATAAAAAAATATATATGAAGCCGATCCTAGTCTTTCGAACAGGGTGAATTTGATGAAAAAAATGGCTATTATGATTTTATAAAAAAAACGACCCCTTTTTATCTCAATAAGAACGCACGGCATTGTCTATAATGACGTTTGTCTGATGGTATTGATGTCCAGTTTGGTAAGAATCGCACGACTAATAGCTGATGAGATATTGAAGTGCGACACGCTATATACAGTTATTTTCCCAGATTATTGTCCCTCAATTCTATAAGAATAAAATGTATCCAAATGAGAAATGAACATAGTTACACTATTTTCGACATCAGGAAAGAAAGCTTTTTCGATAATGCGGTAATTTACAGGAGGATCTGTCGAAGCAAAACATTCTTCTCAGCAGGAAAGAAACATCTCATTCACGTCTCTTTTTTTCAAATTTTGAATATTTTCTTTCGTTTTCGTGATGTCAGCTTTTGGAGTCGTGAAGTCCATAGTCAATCACCCTGTACATTAATCAAACCTGTTGATAAGAAGTCGGCGGAAAATTACCCGATTCAATCTCTTCAAGATTTGGCGGAGGCACTCATTTCATAATTTATTTTTGCCGTTATTCGGTGTATTGCTATTAAATGAGCGACATAAGTGATTTAGTGTACAATATGCCCGAAAAGAAAAGGTCGTTTCATGATGCCCTTTCTCTCCCATTTTCCAGCAACTCTTCCGATCTCAGCAATCCCAGGCCGCCACCCCGACCGCCGCCCAACTCCAGCTGCTCCAACAACAACAGCAGCAACAGCAGCAGCAACAACAGCAGCAGCAACAATACCTCGCAGCGGCGGCCGCCCAACAGCAGTTCCCCCACCAGGCCGCCCCCTATCTGGTGAACGCCGCGGCCGCCCAACAGGAGCCCGCCTCCTACCTGATAACGGCCGGCGTGCCCGCCCAATACTATGGGGCGGTCGGGCCGTGGGTGTATCCGGCGCCGCCCGCCAATCTGATGCAGCAGGGGGCGGCAGGTGGTGGGGGCAGGAGGCCGTTGACGCCTAACGGGACGGCCGAGGCGCAGCAACAGGTGCAGGTGAGAGAGAGAGCAACAGGTTGTTTTGTTTCGTTTCTTTTGTTCGAGAAGTGGTTCGCATTCCGCTGCTTTTGGCTTCTGAGAAGTTGGTTCTTTGGAGTAGCGAAAAAATTTTCATGGTCCACAAGTTGAAATTTTAGAAAATTTCTAGACTTTCACATTGAAATATTTGGGTTCTCTGGAAATATTTTTCTTATTTTGAAAAGTCTCACTGATGGTTTACTGAAAAAAATATCAACTTTGTATCTCCAGAAAAACAATTATTTCAATCTGGAACCTTGATATTTTTTCTTCTATTTTTCAATAAAAATTTATTTTGAAACATGAAAAGTGGAGGTGGAGAATTACAGTAATATCCTCGTTTTGATTGGCTTCTAAAAATGTTAATAGTACAGATGGAGAAAACTTTGAATGCCAAAATACAATTTTTTTTTCAAACTAAGAGATTCTACCAGATAAAACACATTCACAAACATTTTTCGAAATAAGGTGTCACTGACAATCGACTGAATTTTTCTTGTAAGCTCTCTACTAGTAACATTTTCAAATGAAGTGACATTTTGGGACAAATCATCTGATCTGTCCTTCCTACACGTATATTGAGATAATACGCATATATTATCATTTTATAGAAAGGAGGAAGAACAATTTCAGAAGAACTGAAAAAATTAGTTATTTTAGAGATCTTCGAATCGTCGTTAGTTCCTCCAAGCTGGGCTATTCTGATCAATTATTTAAAAAAATTGTGACCTATTTTTTTTTTAATGTATCAAAACCTATAACTGTTGCTGTTTTGTTTTTCATTCTCAATAAAGAACCCTGTATATTATTGGAATGTATGAAATGACCCTGTACCACTGCCACTGGTCTTACCAGTACGTTATTTGAGAATATTGCAGAGCAGTATTATTGATGATTTGAAATAACAGGAACATCTCAAATGACATAAGTAACTTTATTTTATTTGATTGCATGAACAGTTGATTTTTTTCATTAGCTACTTATTCTATATTGGATTTGTGTAACAATTTTGTCTAAATATTTATTGTACATATTAGGCAAATTCCGTTTCTCGACAGTGAATGTAAATAAAATGTGTAATGTACAGTTTTGTATTATCAGTGCGTATATCTTTATTATCCATAAAATGATCCATTAGACTATCCGCCAATTGCTTTATCGGCAGTGACTCACGAATTTATATGTTTAATGACATAAGTTCGTTAAAACTGTGATAAACAGTTAACATTCCTCTGAAACGAAATTAACAGTTCCTCAATTTAACATTCATCAATGGTAATTATATTATCTTTCGTTTGACTGTTTTCATTTGCGAAACATTGATTTTCAATTTATTATTCTGAACGTATTCAGAATTTTAGACTTTTATATGGTTATGACATTTTATCATGGATTTTATGATGCTTTCTTTTTTTCCATATGAATATTTCGAAAAGTTTCTCTAACCCAAAATTTCTTTAACAATTTTGACTCGAATTTCTCTTATTGATACTCATTGTAAATATACTTGGATAATAGTAATAATAAATATAGGAGAACGAAAAACTAATGGTCCCAATAACAATATAAATAAATTAATGTGATGTTACTTTATTAAAATACTAGGCTATTAATACAACATTATCACAACAATATTGCCATTTTTGCAGTATATTCCTTTCATAGTAAGAATCGTCATATTTGAATATTTTCTTACTTTTCAAACTTGGATGATTTCAACTCATTAAAATATTATTTCTCATATTAATATTCCAGTTCATCTATCTCTTCGATGGGGTATGAAATGACGATTCCTGTTCAGTATTTTCAAGAAAACTCTTTGAGGTTTGAAATCTTGTGATTTATGAAATAAGTTCCGAAGTTTCATCTATCCAGAAACTATTTTGATTAGCTTTTTTTGTGGATCATAAGTTTCAAATCAAAGTAAAATTAAAAATAATGGTATAGTCTGAAATTGTAATGCATCATTCATTCTCTCACATTTTGCCATTACGAGTAGCGTTTAGGGACAAACATTTGATTAACTTGAAAAGGAAGTGAACAATAGAATTTCGCTCTGCCATCCTAGTTTAACTGGAATTGCAATTATTATTGTTTTCACTGTGGAACTTCATCAGGCGTTTCAATTTTCCATTTAAAAAGCATAGGTCTCCAAAATATCAGACTTCTAACAAGAAGACATCGTACATGAAAAAAAAAACAAGTTTCTGAGTAGATGAAGGTTTGAAACAGATTTCATGAGTTTTCGATCCTCAAAACGTTTTGTTGAAAAATAATTACCAGGAATTGCTATTTTATTCCCCCATTATTCAAGAATAACGCTCGCCTATCGCCCTTTCAGTATGTTGTTCATGACACTACCCCCTACCACCCTACAAATTTTGTGACTACGCGATTTATTTTCCTCAATTTTTTGTCAGTTTACTAACTGAAATACGAGATGAATTGGAATATTACTATAGAGAATTTCTTGATGAGATGAAAACTTGAAATTAACCGAAGATAAGAAATTGTCATAATTCTCACTATATAGGCTGACTGACAGAGTTGAAATTGGAAGAAGAAATTGTAAGTGTCACACTGTAGTCTCTGATGAATAATTTCATTCCCTTTTTTTTTGTCAAAATCGGTAGGTTAATGGCGGTCCTATGGCTTGGGGAGTTTTTTGTCAGTCAGCCTGTATAAAATCGGTCGTGAAATGTTACTGTATCTTCATCATGTAAATGTTGTAAATGTGTAAATACCGAAAGTCGTTGTACTTGCGCAGTCCCAAGTCGCCGGCGGCTACATCGTGCCCTACTACGACCAGACGGCCGCCCCCATCCTGATGGCGCAAGGCGCCGCCGCCGCTGCCGCCGCGATGCGCGCCAACGGCACTCCCATGCGATTGGTCAGTCCGGCGCCCGTTTTAGTCCAGCAGCAGCCCTCTGCGGCGCAACAGGCCGCCTCCAGGCAGACGCAGGTGGCTGCGGCGGCAGCGGCAGCGGCGGCTGCAGCGGCTGCGGCCGCCTCGCTGTACTCGCAGCAGCAGCAGCAGGGTTCGCAGCAGCAGAGCTTGTACGGCGGCGGGGTTGGTACGTCGGTGAATGGGACGACGTTGGGAGGTAGGTGGGACAATTTATAGACCATGAGCCCACAATGTGTTTTTTTTTCTCTCTTGTGGCTCTTTTGTTCACATTCAGCAGTATAAGAACCAAGTCATGGAAACCATCCATTCTTAAAGTGGTCTAGTATTTTTCAACAGGAGAAAAAAAGCGAACTCAAAGTCGGTCGACCGGAATATTTAATATAAAAATAATCAGCTTCGGCTCTACGGCCATCTTCAGACACAATGAAAAGAGAACCTAGAATATCACAAGTATAATATAGATGTAAACAAAATGATAACTTCTAAGTAGAAAACATCTTAGCAGTATAAAAAATTCGATTATCCGGTCGTTTCAAAGTATCAATCCAGCCTTGCACTCGACAAAATTTGTAACGGCTGAAAAGCCAAAGGAACTTGACTGATGAAGCTCAATTGAGTAGATTTCCAAAAATTACTTTTACCATTTTTCCCCCATGCTGAACTTACTTATAGTCAAGTTCTTTTGGCTTTTCAGCCGTTACAAATTTTGTTGGGTGCGAGGCTGGATTGATCCTTTGTAACGGCCAGATAATTGAATTTTTCACATTGTTAAGGTGTATCCTACATAAGAGGTATGTCAACTCCTTCTCAGCTACCATTTTGTTTATATCTATACTATACTTGTAATTTTCTAGGTACTTTTTTCATTGTGTCTGAAGATGGCCGTAGAGCCAAAATATACTGCTGGTTATGAACAAATGATACGAGCTCCCGGTCTAATATGCCTATGGTTTTCTTGGTGATTTTTTCTTTTACTGTTTATTTCGTTCTGCGCTTATGGTTACGGGAGGCGGTTATCTAATATCTAATAATAATATTGGCTATGATTAAATTATCATTTTATTATGTGAATGGTATTTGGTAATCTTCATTAACCTATCAACAATAATAGGAAGGTATAATAATTATATCATAATAAGAAGAGTGCCCTGAATATATCATTTCACGCCCTTTAAAGAGTGTGGGCACACTAGTCATGCTGTTGAACAGCTGAAAACGAAAAACATGAGACACAAATATGTTTTATAAGAGTTGCGATATCATTATTCTGAACCCCTTTATAGAACAAGTGCAGAAAGACATATTATTATTCATGTTATAACATCATTGAAAGTATATTCATGAAATGAGTATTGGAATTTAAAGCTTGTATAAACACTTGATGTCTTCTCGTCTGTGGGCAGCTCAAATAAGTTGTAACCATCACACTCAGAATTTTTGCAATTCGTTACCGAATACATTTTCTCAGGAACGCCGATTCAATTTTCAGAACTGTCTCAGTGAATCATGACTATCCGGGAATGTGGTGACAAATGTGTCCACACTCTTTTTATGGCGTGTAATGAGATGTTCGAGGCATAAGTAGGTAGAAAAGTATAGAAGAGATATTTGGTAACCGCCTCTCAGCTCTGTTCATTTGATAAAATATTCAATGGAGCATTGTATAATATGGTTAATCGAATTACATTTCCAGAGAATTATATAAGTTTCAAGGACACATGAACTTTAATGTTTTATATATGCAAATTGGTTTTTTGCTAATACAATTCATCTATGTTTTTTGAATCAAATGAATAGGATTAAATGGGTGTACTTATAAAATAAATATGCATATATCCTAATTCATGTCTGATAAGTCTGATAAATCACTATTTACTGTGTATGAGAAGTTATTTTGCTATTTTTGTCCTCTGAATTCTAGCTAAATTCATATCCTATTCAATGTGATACAGTGTTGAATCAAGATTCATCAAAAGAAACTGAACATTTCACTTCCAAATAAGTTTTTTCACAATAGAGAAGTTAAGCTAGCATGTTCAGGGTTGCAAGAAAATTTCATATTGGTAACATAAATAAAATTGGTGAAAATGGTCTTCCATTCCATTTCACCTCATTTCTAGTGTTCCCAAATTGAAATTTTCATTATTTATCCTTGGAATCCTGAAGACTAGGACAGATTGAAAAGACCTCTCTCAAGTTAGCTGAACTTATCTATCGACAAGGAAAATGTACATCATCACTTGATGACGACGGTTCAATTTTCAAATGCTAAGTTATTCTCGAAACAACTCGTTGATATAATTATTGGGAAAAGTTTTCGTAAACTGCAATTGCAATGAATGCAAACACGAAACACGTAGAATCGGCTCAGAGAACGATATAAAGTTATGTAAATACTATTGGAAGTTTAATAATCGCATGCTTTATATTGAGAAATTCAAGAACAATGAATATAAATCAGTTTTATATGAAGCTATATGAATTATGGCGTTCTTGTTAGATTGTGAATTATACAGAGGTATAGTTTATCCAAAATCAATTGCAGAGTTTCCCACCTGCAGTCTTTAGAGGAAATATCAAACACGCCGACACCGCACAGTGCAAGATATTCTGCAATTTTTATTGGATATACTATGAAAACAAAATAAATCGAGTAAATGATGAGCTACAATTTCATTCCAAACTGTTTTGAAAACACACATCGCATTCTATCATTATTCACTCTCGGTGAAAGGAACATCGAATTTATTCTTCGGTATCATATTGTTGAACAAAAAGTGATAAATGGCAGAAACTTATTAATACTTCTGTCCCATTTTGCAGAAAGTTTTTGTCATCTGTCAAAAAAATTGAAACTCGTACAATTCTCTAGTTTGTATTCCCTCACTCACTCACCCTCATTCACTCATGTACATATACTATAATGAATATAATGAATAATAATTCTACCTGTACGTATACCTACCTCATTTATTAACACGGTGTGTACTGACTTACTAACGTTGCGTAAAGGTGTGGCCCAAGGTGTGGGTTCGGGGCTGTTTCAAACGTTGCACGCCGCACCGCCATCTGCCGCCGCTTTCGGCAGCTCGTCGCTAGGGAATATCGGCTCATCCTCCACCGCCAACTCCTTGCATACAGGTAGGATAGGTAATGAGCACTTTTTTTTTCTTTTTTTTTTTATTCGAGTTGGATAAGTTTTTCGGGATATCTAGAAATGTTGGTGTGAAACGGCATATTCTGTTTTGCTATCACCAGTTGGCATTACTAGAGCGTGAGGTCTCTGTCAGAGTCAAAAGTCTTGGAATTCTATCGATTAGCCTTCAAGTCAAAAAACCTAACGTAAGTTTTTGACTTGAGGTCCGGGTTGGAGAACTGACAGGAATACTCCTCTTTGATTTATTTGGCCTCTTCCTAAGATATCATCATTTCTTTTGATGAAAATCGCGCGTAAAGTTTGATATTGAGCATTGAAAACGCAAAACTGATCAAGTCTTATCATAACTTTAGCTTTTTTATTTGTTTACATTAGTGGCGTCTTCTCAGAGGAGGTAACGGAGGCCTAGCCACCTTGAAAATTTCCTTGGATCGAATACTTCGATATACTTGTATTAAATATAAATATTCACCGAAATAGCTATCTTACGTTCGTTTTATCAGTTTTATTTCCTGATATCGAGTAGAATTTGACAATTTGGCAGCAATACTTTTATACTTGAAAGTATTCAGAATAGAATACAAAATTTGTAACTTGGCAACATCCAACGGAAAGCGGCATCTGGCCAATGAAATTGTCCGGAATCGCGATTGCGAAGCAGCACGTAACTTGACGACAATAAACAGTTGAAAATCTCAATATAAGGTTCCTGTTACATCTTATTCTAATAGATGTTACTGTACGAATTATCTTTAAAATGGAAATAGAAACTGAATTATCAGAATTTTATTAAACACTATCAAAAATGAACCTACTTACACCATTTCTGTATATGATTTGTCGTAAGAATAAGTGATTATTGTTATTTGGTCCGATGACCATTAAATATATGACGATATCTTCAATGAACAGAAACCTTACAAGTGTCGTCAGTTTTTTTCGTAGATTTTCACATTTACACTTCCCATTCAGTCTCTCTCCCCTGTTGAGAGGTGTACGAGCCGCCATTGGTTTACATAGTCTACATACATAGTTTTAGCCTTCAGGGCTTCTCGGAAAAATTTGGAGATTTTTGATTTTGTCATACTCCACGCTCTAGTAACGTCATCTGGTGATATTGAAAATGTTAGCCCTCATTTGATCACTTCTGAGAAGGCAATAATTTTGTGTTTGTTCATACCAGGTTGAATTTTTTTCTAGATATCTCGCATGAGTCATTAGTTCACTATGATTCTTTATACGTTTTTCATTCGAATCCTTTGTATATAAATCCATGTTTTGTATCATATTATGAGTTCTTTTTTCCTTATATATTTTATTATTTGTTATATTACTCAATATTGCTGTACAAAGATACAGGGTGGGCCAAAAGTTCCTGATACATTTTAAAGTTAACTAGAGAAAATCCTATGAATTTTCGAAACTTTTAACCCACCCTGTATTTAATATTCATTCAAAAATGAAAGAGCTTCATTGCATGTTTACTAGCACGGGAAATAACTCACAGTTGGGTTCACAATATGCATTTTTGCTTCCTAATATCAACCATTCATTTATAAATATTTGAATAGAAATATGATTGAAAGTCATCTAGTCTCCTAGATGAGGATTTCTTATTTATTGTGAAAGTGAAATTATTCAAATTCGTATCGTTGGAAGTTTTTTACATGATTCCTATTATAGTGGTTTGGTGGTTTTTCTCAGGTGCTTGAAAGAATACACACAAATATTAAAAAAAAGACATCATTATCCCTAAATGTGTGCGGGTGTATCTGTTGTATTGCTTTTGGAACTGAAACCACTGAATGTAATTTTCATTGAAGATCCGAAACACCCCCAATATATTGCTGGATCAAATAGAATACTCATTCCTGTTTCTCTTCTTCTGTCCGCCCAGACAATTTGGCTGGCCTCGGCTTGACGACGACCGCCACCGCGCGCCGCGACTCCTTCGACCGCAACACCTCCGCCTTCTCTCCCTCCTTGGAGTACCGCCAAAAGTGGCCGACCTCCTACAACCTGGGCGGCAGCGCCAGTCCGCTGACGGGCAGCCTGACGCCGCCCCCACAGCCAGCGGCTGCCCCCCTACAGCTGGGCGGACTGGTGAATCCGCGCGTGCTTTCGGCCGCCCCAGGGGCGGAAGCCAAGTACAGGAGTTCCTTGGGAGGGGCGACGGCCATTTTCGGCTCGACCAGCTCGTTGTTTACCAAGATCAATTCGACGTTGACGGCGGCGGCGGGGGGAAATGTGGCTGCCGGGGTGGCCGGCGGCGGGTTGGACAAGGGGCCGCAGGGCAGGTCAAGGTTGCTGGAGGATTTCAGGAACAACAGATATCCCAATTTGCAGCTCAGGTGGGTAGCTTGATTTTTTCCTGTGACGTTTAGAAAGTTTGAAATTTCATCTCAGTTGACAGGTTATAAAATGTCACGTTACTGGTTCAGATCAATATCTTCTTTCTAAAAGAAGATACAAGTGTTTGACGATTTTTTTACAGTAATTCAGAACTCATTGGGCATCTTAGGGATGAACCCCAGAAATTTATTTGTCTTCGTCTGGCGTTGTCAGAGACTCTTTAAGAGCTAGGTTCGCCTTTCTAGATAAATTTGAGACAATTCCTGAAGACTGCTTGAGAAATTTGGTCAACTCGATGCCACGGCGGTTGAATGCTATAATAATTCAACCTCTAGGAGGGCATACTCATAATTGACTACATTTGGGAGGTCCGCTTTTTCTTTGTAATTTGTAATCGATGTTTTTCTTTGCCGGTGAGTGCTAAGACAACTGGGTAGAAATAAGTGATATCAATCATTAGAAGTTGTAAATCGATACATTCTTGTTGGTTTTGCATTATTATTCATGAAAATTAAAACACTTGTACCTTCTCCTGAAAAGAAGATATTGACGTAAATCAAAAACCATTGTGTTAAGTTGGGATCACACTTCAATCCAAAACATAGTTCTATCGCTGACTTTTGCTGCTACAGGACGTTAAGAAATTAAGGACGATGAAAAAGTAACTTGTTTTTCTCGATAAATTTGGTAACATTTTGGTAAGAGTATAATAGCTCGTTCAGAAAAAAATCCCTATGTTTGAAAGAACTAATCTAATCTAATTAGCTACCAATGATCGTCTTCTCCTCAAAGTTTTCAGGATTTGATTAATGTTTATTGAAATTCTCGGGATATGATGAATTTGTTAATCAATAGAATCTAACTTGTCCATTTTTTAATATTGCTTTTATGTTTGTCAGTGATTGAAGTTGAGCTCTAAAGATAGCACTTTTGATGTATTTCACGACATATGATGCAGATGAACAACATTTAGGTTAGGTAAGATGAGTTGAAGTAAACTGAGGCTGCCCTGTCTTGGGTTCATGTTTGGTAACCTATTGATCATGTGATTTACACCACTTTGAAGTATGGATGATATCCACGGAGATGATTGAAAGAAAATAATTATTCGTTCCTTCTGTGCTGTAACCGTCACCTCAATAACAATCTTGTTTCCTTCCAGGGATCTGGCCAATCACATCGTCGAATTCTCGCAGGACCAGCACGGCTCGCGCTTCATCCAACAGAAACTCGAACGCGCCACCGTCACCGAAAAGCAAATGGTCTTCAACGAAATCCTGTCGGCCGCCTACAATCTCATGACGGACGTGTTCGGCAACTACGTCATCCAAAAGTTTTTCGAATTCGGTACGGCCGAACAGAAAACGACCCTCGCCCAAAAGGTGCGAGGGCAAGTGTTGCCGTTGGCATTGCAGATGTACGGGTGTAGAGTTATACAGAAGGCGTTGGAATCCATACCGCCCGAGCAGCAGCAGGAGATCGTTCGAGAGTTGGACGGTCACGTGCTCAAGTGCGTCAAAGACCAGAACGGCAATCACGTGGTGCAGAAGTGCATCGAGTGCGTCGATCCTAACGCTCTACAGGTGAGTGAATCACAATACTATACTGTGGAAAGTGATATATTTCAGTCGAATTGTGCAAGAATTGCACTTTCCAACAAGTTTTTTGAACTTTTTTTTTTGACTACGGAACCTGAGTAGATGTAGTTATCTAAGCATATTTTCAAGTCATATTAGATCACGCCAAAAGTGATATTCAATATATCAGATTACCCAATTTCAATTTTTCAAGTTGTACTCAACTTCAACCCAACTTTCAACTCAACTCAACTTTCGGTTTAATCAAAAATAAGTATGAAAACATTTTTACATTACATTGACTAATTTACAAACTTACACTTCATCAACTAACTTACAAACTCAACTCAAGTAACGTTAACTTGATTAACATTTCAATATAGCGTTAATTTTTTATGAGTTTAGCGTTAATTTTGCATTAATCCAACATTAATTTAGCGTTTAATTTCAATTAATTCAACATTAGTTAAGCGTTAATTTTTCATTATTTCAACATCAATTTAGCGTTAATTTTTGATTAATTCATCATTAGTTTAGCGTTAATTATTCCATTATTTAGCGGTCATTTTCATTCATTTTTCATTAATTTAGCGTTAACCTTTCATTAATTCATCATTTTTCTTCAATTTAGCGTCAATTTTCATTATTGTAACATTAATTTAACGTTAATTTTTCATTAGTTTAGCGTAAATTCTTCATTAATTTAGCGTTAATTCTTCATTAATTTAGTGTTAATTTTTCATTAATGCAGCGTTGACATTAATTTATTGTCAATTTTTCATTAATTCAGCGTAAATTTTTCATTGATTTACCATCAATTCAGCATTGATTTTTCATCACTTAAGCATTGCATTTTCATTAATTTTACCATTAACCTAACCTAACATTGATTTAACGTTAATTTTTCACTAATTTAGCATTATTTTCTATAATTTATATTTCAGATCAACCAATGATAAATTGTATCCTGAGAAACTGTCTGAATTAGACTCTTAAGTTATCGCTAATTCATAGGTAATTTAACGTTAATTCGATATCTTGGATATTTTGCTATAATCGCAAAAACATACACAGGAGTGTCGGTAATATGTTCAGAAAACAAATTTCGTCATATTTTATTTTTTCTGTTCTTCTATTGATTCAAGAAATAGAGTAAATATTGATAAATGACCCTTATTTATAGACGCCACGGTGTATTTTTTCGCAGTTTATAGATTACAAATCAAAGGCAGGAAAGATTTGGTTCAAGATATAAGAATTTTTGACGTATTTCATCCAACATATTGGGAAAAATCTATATTGTCCTCATGTCACACGTCCTGTAGCTAGTTCCTAAACAACTCCTACTCACGTGGTAAATCTCTTCAAGATATATTAACTACTTCAGTTTGTCTTCAATAAAAATGAATCACCCTGTATAAATCTCTAAAAATCTCTCGTATACTTAAGTACCTATTTGATACACGAAAGTAAACACTCGTTTTCTTCTTTCCTTCCAGTTCATCATCCAGTCCTTCTCCGGTCAAGTGTACACCCTGTCGACGCACCCTTACGGCTGCCGGGTGATACAGCGCATCTTGGAGCATTGCACGGCCGATCAGACGACGCCGATACTGTCGGAGCTGCACCAGCACACCGATCAGCTCATCCAAGACCAGTTCGGCAACTACGTCATCCAGCACGTTTTAGGTAACTGACAAATACAAGACAAATAAACATCTAGGGATATACCAACTGATGGCCAATGATATTTTTGGCAGTTTGAAAATCGGTCAGACATCTATTTATTTCCTCGATTTTTTTTTGGCTAAAGTGTATCGCAAAGGACAAGAAATCATTTACGTCAAGAGGGAGGATCGGAATTTTCACCTATCTCGTATACTTCTGTATTGAATCATGACTAATTTCTGAAAATTCTGACAAGCAAATCAATTTCTGGCTTTGAAGTCTTTTAACTTGTTTTTTTTTTCAGAATTCTGATTTATAGATAGATAGATAGAAAGAACTTATACAAGTTATGGGACAAGTCATGAAACAATTCATACAGGAATTGCAGATAAAAATATACATATACATTGGTATAAAACAAAACAAACATAATATACAGTGGGCCAACGGTAGAATGTTTAGATTATTTCAAATTAACATTCTCCCGGAAGTTATTCAGTCCGTTTCGTTGATTTGTATATCAAAATTCTAACTTTTCATCTCAAAATTCTCAGTTGTTTGTCAAAATTCTGACTTTTATTTCGGTATTTTTCATTTTTTCATGTTTTTTTTTTTTCAGAACACGGTAAACCGGAAGACAAGTCTCAGCTGATAAACAGCGTGAGAGGTAAAGTGTTGGCGTTGAGTCAACACAAATTCGCCAGTAACGTTGTCGAGAAGTGCGTAACGCACGCGACGAGAGCCGAGAGAGCTTTGCTCATCGAAGAAGTTTGCGGATTCAATGACAAGTAAGCCTTTATTTTCATTCTCATAATTTTTTTTTTAGATAAAACTACGAAATAACCGGATTGCCCAAAATGAAATGAATAACAAACATCTTCACGTCAAGGATGAAAAACAACTCATTTCCTAGCTTATGTCACTCATGTAGAACATTGGATTACATCCTTCCGAAATCTGCATCGATTTGTATAATTGATGCTGATGCTGATTGTTTTTAGATTGTAGCCAGGTTCACGCTTGACACCCTATGACCGCTAACTGTTCAAAACCTTACTCAATAAAAATTCAATTGGTACATTATTTGTATACTCATGGAGGTTTCCCAATGTCATTTAGAGTAGTTGTTGAACAATCATCGATTTGCATTTCTCGCCGCGATGGGAATTGCAGTTTTAGAGTGTTTCTTGCATTCTGCTCTGGATGTTGTTCTTTCCATGATGCCATTGGGAAGCATCTCTGAGCCTACAAATAATATGTCGATTGGATTTTTGTTGCGTCAGGTTTCGCTCAGTTGGCGGTCCCATGAATGGTGGTGACTGGTGGACTACCCTAGAATGATGAGGGCGTTGAGCGTTAACATGGTTACAATCTAAAAACAATCGGCATCAAGAAAAGAAACACATGCATCAGTATTCGATTATAGGAATGGATGCATAGATTTCGGAAGGATTAAATTGAATGTTCTGCGTGGCATTAGCCAGGAAAGTAGTTGTTTTTCTCTCGTCATCTACCATCGTGTTCATTTTATGAATTTTTCTGAAATTGACTTGAAAAGGAATTTGCGCTTTTCATAGCTTGACTTGAAAAATCTGAATTATCATGTATTTCATTGCCTCTGAAAAACTTGAGATACTGTCTACACGACCGTCGCGGCGGTTGGATACTGATACATAAACAACCGCCGCGACGATATTCCTTCCTTCTTTATAGAGAGTACTTCCGAGCAAAGCGATAGCTTAGTTGACAGTATACTTGCGAGGCCTAACTTTTTTTTTAACTTTTTCTCACCAATAATTTTTCGAAAAATATACTTCTCAGGAGAGGTTTATTTTGACGAGTTAGGTTAGTTTGTTTGAATAAAGTAGTCTTCTTTTTCATGCATAAACGATATTTTCCTTCCTCATGTTTGACAGCGGTCTTCTATATAAAAATAGGCAACCGCCGCGGTGGTTGTTTATGTTTCAGTATCCAACCGCCGCGGCGGTCGTGTAGACAGTGCCAAAACTCATTTATATTTTTAAGTTGAGGTTAAATTGAAGTTAACGTTGACTGATTGACAATTAACGATAGATTAATTATGAATCAACGTTGAAGTTGATGGTTTAAGGTGAAATTAATGAGAAAATAACAATAAATTGATCCAAATCAAATTTAGGCTAATGTAATGAAAAATTAAAGTCAAATTAATGGAAAATCAACGCTAAATTAAATATTTTTTCTAATTTTTCAGCGCTCTGCACGTGATGATGAAGGATCAGTACGCCAACTACGTGGTCCAAAAGATGATCGACGTGAGCGAGCCGACGCAACGCAAGGTGCTCATGCACAAGATCAGGCCGCACCTGAACTCGTTGCGCAAATACACGTACGGCAAGCACATCATCGCCAAATTGGAAAAGTACTTTATGAAGGCGCCCGGCAGTTTGGGCTCGTTGGGGGGAGGAGTGACGGGGGAATTGGGGCCCATCGGCCCGCCCACCAACGGGGTACTCTAAAGTGCTCACTTGCTGATTTTTTTTCTCCTCCTTCTTTTTCTCTTCATCTCTCCTCCTTCTTTGTTTTTATAATTGTTATTTTATTTTGACGGCGAGCCGCGCTGCCTGTGCGTTTTGGTAGCGCGCGCTACGTTCCAGTATTTACTTTTTTTTTTCTTCTCCACATTTTTTATCATTGATTTTCGTATTTTTTTTAATCATGATAATTTTTTTTTTTTCGTAAGGTTAGCGTTAGCTTAGGACTTATCGTGTTGTATACCTACATCCAAGAAGAAAACAAACAAAAAAAAAAAAGGAAAATGTCTCTGTATTATAGTTGTAATTTATGTAATTTGTCAAATCATCGCGTTGATTGGCTTTTGTTTTAGCATGGATGATGATTTATTTTTCTTGGTGATTTTGGATAAAACAAAAGGCAATTCCGATCAACATGCATGTTCACATTCGTGTCCCCCCCTTTCACCCCCCCACCCTTTCTCCCCACCAACAACCTTACGATATCGTAAAGCTTAGATGGTTGTGTAAAAATTTTTTAAGGAGCGAATCTCACGGACATTATTTCGAACAGACGCAACATTAACAAAAACTTGAAATTGTACATAAAACAAAATAATCAAACAAACAGCGGTACAGCAGAAAATTGCCTCAATGCTTTCCGATTTCTAACAAACAAAATTCATCAATAATATTGAAAATCAGTCTTGACAGTCAGTTGGTAAATGATTTGAAATAGTCAAGAATTATTGTCATCCTATCGATTTTGAATGTTTTCACAAACAATTCTCGCTCTATACTCTGTACAACTTTAACACTTGGTATGAATCTTCGTTTCACTCTTGAAAATAATGTTTCAATCGAAAGTAACGACATTGACCTGAAGATATTTTTTCGTAGTTAATTTTTTCAAAAAATCGTTTGAACAAATCATAAAAAAACATGGACTTTTCCATTATAAATGCCCTTGAATAAAATAAGATTTGAAAGAAATCAAGATTTGAACAAACTCGAATGGGCATTTGTTTCATATACAGGGTGGTCCAGATTGGCTGTCATTTGAAAGGTGATGGAGACCAACTGAACCATTTTCAAAAATTTCCAATTCGGTGGGAAAATGAAACAAAGATTCACACCGATACCGTAAACGTTGCACTTTCGGTATGGAGTTTTTGTGGACGAGTTGTTGACGTAACTTTTTTCGAATTTATAGAGTCGAGTTTTTCACCTTAGACACTTGGCGTTGCATTTATCTTTAGGGTATTAGACGTTTCATCGCTATCGATAGGAGTGTTAGAAAAGTGTAATTACGGCCTCGGATCCCGTCGATTTTGAGAAATACTTCACACGCCATAATTTTTTATCGTTTTTCGGACTCGCGTTTCGTAACTATTCGGGTGTCCAGCCTTCCAAACTGTATAAAGTGTTCATTTCCAATAAAGTCGCAGAGATATATTTACTTGTCGAGATTTATTGTAAAAATTTTTATGGAGAAACAATTATTGTAAGATAACAAATTGACTTTATGTAAATATTAATTTGTAAAAGTTGTATAAAAAAAATGTATTATTTTTCATCCCTTTCATTTGTAAATAGTGAAGTATTTGTTCGGAATTGAGTGTGGATTCAGTCGAATATTCGAAATCTTTAGATACATTGAAGGAGCTGTTATTAATATTAATAATAGTGATTATATTTATATATAAAAAAAAACAATGTAGAACTTGATGGCACACATTTCCTTTTTATCAACTAATACACACACGAAGCGTTTTAATAATCGTAAAGGTTTTTCTCTCAAATTCCATTTTATTAATATTTAATGTTGTATGGTATAATTTCAAATGCATTTATGACTGTGTTTTCGAGCTACTTTGTAGGTAATGTTTGTATCATTGTTGTTTAATATACACACACAAACACACATACACACCGTTAACCGAGAACATTGACAGTTGTGGGTAGTTTTTACACCGTCTGGTGTTGTAAATTGACAAACGATAACGTTTTACAATGATTTTTATGCGGCGCGTCTAAGTGGATTCCGATACAAACGATTTAGTTGCATTTAAAAAACAATTCTGTATCAGACTTGAATGATGGTTTTATTACATTTTGAAGGTATTAATTTCGAAATCAACAATTCGTTTGTACTAGAGATGTATATGAGACACACTGTATGACTGACCAAAATTTAATAATTTCACTTATTATACATACTATTTTAGTTTAATTATGACATAATCGTTATACTGAAATTAATTTCAGAGTGATTATTCTTTAATTTCGGAAATGTTAATTTATTTATTTTGAAACAACTGGATCATGTTTTTCGATTATTTATTTATTTTGTTTTTGAAATTGATTCGACAGGACACTGGACCGTAATATTTTTGTTTTGTTTTTTTTAATTTTAAAATCATCCGATGTGTAAAAATTACACCACGCGAGGGCCCAACGATCCCAGTGGTCTCCGATACGTGTACGAAATAATCTCACCGTTTTTTGTATTATATTGTAATATAGTTTCGTTTTCATAGCATTTCCGTACCAAACACATGAAACATGCCATTTCGATGAAGGTTCCAACGTACACTTATCGGGGAAAGCTAAACACATGGCATCGACCAACCGAAATCGTTGAAAATTTTCCGTCATCTTTAAACTCCGCCATCTTGGAAGCTCCGCTTTAGTTACGTACTCCGATAACATTTCCATCATATCTGGTGAAAAAAAATGGTGAGATTTCAAATTCAAGAAGTTATTGTTTTTGTTTTCCCAATGCGACATTTTTTTTCGTATGCTTTGTTTTTGACTGGTTGGTGTTGTTTTGAGGTCCGACAGAGTTTTTCAGCGATTTTGGTAAGAGTTACTGCGAAAACTAATGCACATTCAAAATAATAGACACCCACATTTTTCTCTCCCCCCACTCCGCTAGTGATATGTATATATATGATAATATGCGTTATAATCATTCTCAAATTGTATCACATGTATTTATATAGAAGAAAAAAGAAGGTGTTTAATAGTGTAATAATGTAAAATAATCCAATTTTGTACTTAGAAATTATTTGTATTGTATTTTAATCATGTGAAATATTTGGGTTCTTGGATTTCCGTCTGAATTTTTCCGAATATTCGAAATTGATGCTTCTGCAACATCCAATCAGAAATGAATATAGGAATAATTATGCAAATCCAAAGGAAAAACTGTCTTATAATGGATTTTTTTTACAGCTTGATAGTATTTTTGTATATCTAAAAAATTTCAGGGCATTTGGAGAATATTCAGACGGAAGCCAGGTCACTCGGTTTTTTCTTTTAAATATAGTGCGGTGGAGAGTAAAAAGGCGAGATGGCCACTTTTTCCAAAAAATGGCGCAGACTGATGTAAAGATACTAATCGAGATGTAAAGTGTAAATTCCGTTTTTTGGTTGTCACGTTGTAAAACTGTATAATACATGTGTAAAGAAAAAATATATGAGATCCGTTACATTGTAAACTATGTAATTTCTAAATTGGAACAGTCTGTTTGTTTCTCTTTGTATTTTTCGCGGCGACGAATCGCACGCTTCTAGGGTAGCTGGACGGGGATCACTTACTTGTGCTCCGAGTTTTTTGGCCGAAATCTTCTCTTATCCATCCAAAAAAATGGAAAAAATCACCGGACAAATCTCACGGAAGGACTTTCCACACACGATTATACAGGTGGCATCATGAATACCTACCGGACTTGGAAGATCGCATAGGTCCACTTTTCTGAAGCTGAATGTATACAACTTGAGTCTAAAATATGGGCGAACTTCTAGGACTTCCGCTTATACATTGGATTGGATATTACGTGAAACGGACTCTATCAGTGGCGGCTCCTCAGAGGAGGCAACGGAGGCTGAGCCTCCTCAGAGATTCTCCTTAAACTGATATTATCTATACTTTCTCAATAAGAGGTCACCAAAAAACATGGATTTTGATTTTATTTCCTGTTTTTGGGTGAATATTTTTGAATTGGCAACAGTGCTTGCCCACACATCACACGTTGAAGTCTGCAAATCACGCGTAAAATATTCAACTTGGCAACATCTATAGGAGGCTAGACTCCTTCACAAATCGCAACCCACGCGCGCAATGCAAATGCCCGAATACGCCCGAATAGCACGTGTTTGTCGTGTCGCGTCGCGAATTGCGGACAATCCAGCGGGAGTGCATGCATTGTTTATGTTAGTGTTTATGCTAGGTTAGTGGCTCTGAAAATTTCTGAAAAATGAGTGTTTCAAACGATTGCGTTTTAGTGGAATACTTTTTGAAGAACCCATTCAGTGCTTTGTCTCATGAAGATAAATTGATTGTAACAAAATCGTTCGTTCAATTCTGATAATTATAAAAAATATATCTGGTTGACGGGATCTGAGGTAAGAAATGAGGTATTTTGTTGGTACTGCGTATTATTTTCAACCGATAAGTCATCATGTTGGGGGCGATTGGGATATAATGATTTGAAAAATTTGCCTCGCGGATTGGATAGACACTGCAAATCACAGGAACACATCTCTTCAAGTATTCAGTTCAGGTTAACTGGTAAACAGAATGTCATTAAAGCTATCCATTTGGGTGAGTCGTAGAGAGTTGTTTTTCACAATAATTCTCATATCATTCAGCCTCCTCTGTCATGAAAGTCACGAGCCGCCACTGGACTCTATATTAATCGCCGATTATTATCATAATACAGGATTTTCCATTTGAAATATCGAAATTTTTCCCTACTTCGGGTATTAGCGGAAGTCCTAGGAGTTTGCCTATATTTTCGGCTGGATATATTTCCATCCATTCAGCGATACCCTCAACTTTTACGAAAGTGAACCAATGAAATGTTCTAATTCATGGTTTTCATGATCGGCCTGTATACAGTGTCTCACTTTTCATAAAAGGATTTTGAAACTCCCTTGAACAAGAGAGAATACATCCAGTCATCTTCAGTGATATACACTGCTCGATGGCAGCCATGGAACCACCAACATTTCCAGACAATAGTATCTGGAGGCAAAATAGCTTTAAAATCTCTTTCAAACAAAATTCCAGTTCTCGAAAATCCAATTTTGTCTCGTTTCTCATGGAAACAACTCTTCGTATCTCCCGCAATTATTGAGGTAGGATTCTGAAATTCGCATATTTCATCGGACCTCAATAATTACGGGAGATGCAGATGAGAAATGAAACATAGTTGATTGCTTCTGAAATGAATTCCAGGACAAAATTGTACAGATGGTGAATTTGATGTCCCGATTTCGAATCTCTCCTTTTATTATAATTTTCCTGACATATCCGTGATTCCATGGCTATTTGCAAACAGTGCGTATATCACTGAAAATGTTCCTGCTGATTTTGGAATTCTACAACAAGTGAGACACGTGTATCTTGTTCAATATTGTCATCTGTCAATTGTATTGTGTGTGTTGAGATTTATCTGGGGAGTTATTTTTTTCTAGATGAAGGCTGATAAACTCGGGCAATTTATGTTACAACAATATGGCTCTCTGCGGATCTATGCGGCTGTATATTATATTTATTATGCGATCTGTTTCAATGAATGTGTAAATTTAGTTATCGAATGCATGCTAGTTTCCTTAGAATATCCATATGTATGATAATGTATTTCGATTTTATTATTTTTTACCACAGTAGTAATAAACAAGTAAATAATTCATTGGTTGTTTTTCTTAGTCTCATCATATGACCTATTTTCCAGCTAGGAGGGAAGCAATTGGGAAACTAAGTAACTGAAAAGTCTTGAAACTTGAAATATACAAACAAATAAATTTTTCACCTGGATTTTCTAGAAGTGCCTAAATCATTCGAATCATTCCCAATCATGATGAGATTTGTGTTTTTTATGATTATTTTCCTCAATGAAATTGTGGAGGCTGAGTTTGGTCAGGGAGTTTTATTCTGGTCAACTAATGGCATGGCGTCAGCCCACTGATCATTTGTATAGTGATTTACATCACCGTTTACATAGACAATCTACTCTGTTCAAGGTAGTTTTTTCTTCCTCCAGAGGGTCTGGTTAATAATTCTATTTCTCTACGAGTGAATGCGCATGCGTTCTTGATGTATCACGTGATTCACTGTGAGCAATCTTTCAATGAGGTTTGGGAATGGTTCGAAATCTTTAGGCTCGTGATTTTCCCACGGACCATATAGTTAGAGATAGGAGAAGAGGGATATATATATACCTCAGGCATCGTCCACCAATAATATTCTCCTCAGGTGGAGAAGTAATTGGGGAAAAACGATAGCAAAACACACTCCTCTCCTGATACCGACATTTGAGTTTCGTCTTTAAAATCGGGATTATCCGGAGGAGTTCTAAAACAAATATATTAAATAACTCCCAGTGTGGTCTCCTGACAGCAACGTTCAGAAAAATGTGGATTTCGAAGAAATGTCGGTTCTAATTAAAAATCGGATACCTCCTATACACTTCTGCTCTCCTGATACCTACATTTAGATTTTTGGCTTGAAAATGTGAAATTTCGAGGAAATATCGGTTCTAATTGATAAAATCAGATACCTCCTATACACTTCTGCTCTCCTGATACCTACATTCAGATTTTGCCTTAGAAATGTGGATTTCGAGGAAATTTCGGTTCTAATTAATAAAATCGGATACCTCCTATACACTTCTGCTCTCCTGATACCTACATTTGGATTTTTGGCTTGAAAATGTGAAATTTCGAAGAAGTGTCGGTTCTAATTGATAAAATCAGATACCTCCTATACACTTCTGCTCTCCTGATACCTACATTTGGATTTTTGGCTTAGAAATGTGGATTTCGAAGAAATGTCGGTTCTAATTAATAAAATCGGATACCTCCTATACACTTCTGCTCTCCTGATACCTACATTCAGATTTTGCCTTAGAAATGTGGATTTCGAGGAAATTTCGGTTCTAATTAATAAAATCGGATACCTCCTATACACTTCTGCTCTCCTGATACCTACATTTGGATTTTTGGCTTGAAAATGTGAAATTTCGAAGAAGTGTCGGTTCTAATTGATAAAATCAGATACCTCCTATACACTTCTGCTCTCCTGATACCTACATTCAGATTTTGCCTTAAAAATGTGGATTTCGAGGAAATGTCGGTTCTAATCAAAAATCGGATACCTCCTATACACTTCTGCGCTCCTGATACCTACATTTGGATTTTTGGCTTGAAAATGTGAAATTTCGAAGAAGTGTCGGTTCTAATTGATAAAATCAGATACCTCCTATACACTTCTGCTCTCCTGATACCTACATTCAGATTTTGCCTTAGAAATGTGGATTTCGAGGAAATTTCGGTTCTAATTAATAAAATCGGATACCTCCTATACACTTCTGCTCTCCTGATACCTACATTTGGATTTTTGGCTTGAAAATGTGAAATTTCGAAGAAGTGTCGGTTCTAATTGATAAAATCAGATACCTCCTATACACTTCTGCTCTCCTGATACCTACATTTGGATTTTTGGCTTAGAAATGTGGATTTCGAAGAAATGTCGGTTCTAATTAATAAAATCGGATACCTCCTATACACTTCTGCTCTCCTGATACCTACATTCAGATTTTGCCTTAGAAATGTGGATTTCGAGGAAATTTCGGTTCTAATTAATAAAATCGGATACCTCCTATACACTTCTGCTCTCCTGATACCTACATTTGGATTTTTGGCTTGAAAATGTGAAATTTCGAAGAAGTGTCGGTTCTAATTGATAAAATCAGATACCTCCTATACACTTCTGCTCTCCTGATACCTACATTTGGATTTTTGGCTTGAAAATGTGGATTTCGAAGAAATGTCGGTTCTAATTAATAAAATCGGATACCTCCTATACACTTCTGCTCTCCTGATACCTACATTCAGATTTTGCCTTAGAAATGTGGATTTCGAGGTAATTTCGGTTCTAATTAATAAAATCGGATACCTCCTATACACTTCTGCTCTCCTGATACCTACATTTGGATTTTTGGCTTGAAAATGTGAAATTTCGAAGAAGTGTCGGTTCTAATTGATAAAATCAGATACCTCCTATACACTTCTGCTCTCCTGATACCTACATTTGGATTTTTGGCTTGAAAATGTGGATTTCGAAGAAATGTCGGTTCTAATTAATAAAATCGGATACCTCCTATACACTTCTGCTCTCCTGATACCTACATTCAGATTTTGCCTTAGAAATGTGGATTTCGAGGTAATTTCGGTTCTAATTAATAAAATCGGATACCTCCTATACACTTCTGCTCTCCTGATACCTACATTTGGATTTTTGGCTTGAAAATGTGAAATTTCGAAGAAGTGTCGGTTCTAATTGATAAAATCAGATACCTCCTATACACTTCTGCTCTCCTGATACCTACATTTGGATTTTTGGCTTGAAAATGTGGATTTCGAAGAAATGTCGGTTCTAATTAATAAAATCGGATACCTCCTATACACTTCTGCTCTCCTGATACCTACATTCAGATTTTGCCTTAGAAATGTGGATTTCGAGGTAATTTCGGTTCTAATTAATAAAATCGGATACCTCCTATACACTTCTGCTCTCCTGATACCTACATTTGGATTTTTGGCTTGAAAATGTGAAATTTCGAAGAAGTGTCGGTTCTAATTGATAAAATCAGATACCTCCTATACACTTCTGCTCTCCTGATACCTACATTTGGATTTTTGGCTTGAAAATGTGGATTTCGAAGAAATGTCGGTTCTAATTAATAAAATCGGATACCTCCTATACACTTCTGCTCTCCTGATACCTACATTCAGATTTTGCCTTAGAAATGTGGATTTCGAGGTAATTTCGGTTCTAATTAATAAAATCGGATACCTCCTATACACTTCTGCTCTCCTGATACCTACATTTGGATTTTTGGCTTGAAAATGTGGATTTCGA